AAAAAAGAAAGAAAAAAAAAGAAAAGAAATATTAGCCTCACGTTTCAGATTCTTCTCTCTGTAGTATGTTACATAGTATTACTTCCAGGAAACAGAAATACTGTTACTTCAGTTAGTGTTTTTCTCATTGCAATGAAAAGACCTCCTCAACAAAGCACATATGCTACAGAAGTGGAAATACAAGAAATTACTTTAAAACATATTTTATCCTATCTAAAAATTCCATGTATAACTATTCAAAACACACCTAATTTTTAGTCCTTCTACAGACCTGCTTGCAAAGAAACACTTGAAAAAACATCACCAAACCAAACACTTTTTACTAAATATCAAATATAGCTGATTTCTTACAAAATCTTCTAACACTCCTTTATACCATGGTAATATTTCTTTTATCAGAAATAAACTATAACTTTTAGAATAGACAGCAAAGACCCAGTTTTCAGGGGAGCTGCATAAACCAACAACTCCAACTGGAGTTAATGTCAGCTGTGGATGCTCCACAGCCATGTGAACCACATACCACAGCATACAGTTTACTAAACACAATGAAATCATTCTGAAGAGAAAAATGGTTAAAAAGAAACCTCACTTGACCCATTTTAGGTTAGTAATTACTGAGGGCCCTATTGAACAGAAAAGACCAGCAACACAAAAGACCACAGATCTCTGCATTGCATACTCACAACATATTAAGTGTTGGGGAAACGGGGGAAAAAATAACGAATTTGGCTACTGGTGCCAGCATTTTATTTTTTTAATTATTCTCTCACAGAGCTGAAGGAAGGGAGAGTATGGGGAGAGGTAAAAAGAGAAGCAAGCACCTGACAGACCCCTTTCGCAATTCAAATGGATCAGGTTATTACTCCTTTTACTGAGTGCAGCACAATAGTGGAAGCTATCAGGTAAATGCATTTTAAAAGTCTTTTCAATACTGGAAACCACTTTTGGGTGCTACTAAGTTATTGATACAAAATGCTTCATTACTCTTGTCCTACTACTGCCAGTTGTCCATGTTAAACATAAAATGAGACGAAGTTTTTATTAAATTTGCCATAAGCCAAAAAACCTTTCTGCTGACAGACATACCTGTACCACAGCGTATGTGCTCTGGCTAAGAGTGAAAAGAACAGCAGTTACAGTTTTATGTTTGGCAAAATTTCAGTGGGTGTTCGTTGCATTTCTTGTGTGTGTTTCAGAGGGTTTTTGAAGCCTGTTTCATGTTTCTGTGTTGCAGAATGCTTTTCTTTATGCTTACAGTATCTTCATTATTACAATTTCTTCTTGAAACATACAGCCCTCTCCTCACCCCCAGCCTCAACACCTGCCATATTGAGAAAGAACATCTCCTGCCCACAGAAGAGAAAGGGAGGGGAAAAAGGGCTTCAATCATCATCATCTCTCTCTCCTTCCCCATGCCGTTCTTGTACTTAGAATGATAAAGACTGCATGGGTCAAATCTACCCTAGGAGCATTTCTATTGTAAAAGAATGAATAACCACATAATGAAGTTGTTTTTTTTCTTTCTAGTAGAAACAGATTTCTTGAATTTTGAAAAGCACGTTATGAACCTTATTTTTTAAAATGGTTTAAGCTACTGTGCCAATAGCCATGCCTATGCATATTTCCCATAGAATCATAGAACAAAGTTCACATACTATGCAAAATAAATAAAGTTCAGTATTATTCAGAATGTAATTATGCATTGGAGGAAAAAAAAAACAACTTAATAAAAATATGTGCAAACAAATCTAAACAATATTTCTGGTAGAACAGATAGATTTGACCTCTAAGTGACTCTGAACAATACAGGATTTTCTTAATCTTATCTTGTTTTTAAAGTGGCTGTGGTTAGTGACATGTAGTCAGAAGTAATACTACAGTGTATTATGTACCACTTTTACTGACTAGAGGTCAAAAACTACTTGAGTATGCTTGTAACCTTTCCGGGAAACTGAATCTTCCTATTCAGTGTAGGAATGATGGGAGGTCTGCAAGCCTCAGAGAGGCTGTTGCAGTGCTACACAAACGAAACCTTACATATGAAATGGATTGTTCTAATATCTGACCATCCACTGAGAGATTTTGAGCCTAGGGAATCAAAGACTTCCATAAAAACAAAAAAAAACCCTCCCATCCACCCACCACATGTCATTTGTTTCTTTCAAGTGGGAAAGGGAAGAGAAACAAAAGCTACTTAGTTCCTTTAACCTTCTGCAATAAGAACGTATTCCTCAATACAGAATGCAAAATACTAATGCTGGGTCAAGAAAGCTTTGTGTGAGACTATCATTAAATCATCTGGTTGCAATTTTAAAACAATACAGATTTTTAAAGTGTGCAATGTTTTAACTCAATAAGAGAAGTATAGGTGAATTTTAGGAGAGAAAAAAGAAAAATTAAGCTACAGTTTTAACCGAGGGGGTGGGGGAAGATGATTCTACCAAAACTGTTGACAAAAAATTGATAAATATCTTACTAATGATACCAAACAGCAGCAGGAGGCTTGAAGTACATTTAAGAAAAATTAAGGACCTGATAAAGCTTAATAAATAGAAAAATACAATCTTCAGAACTTCTGTGTGTTACCTGCCTGCAAAAGACTGCAGCTAGTTCAGATCTAGGCTGAAGCTGCTTAGCATGTGTCCAAAACCATACTGCTTCAAAGCATATAAACACAAACAATTGAATATGTTCCTGATTTTATGAAAGAGATACTTAATTGATAACTTAAGATATTTCTAATTAATTTCAGGAAGATTTCCGATTGGATTTGTATTGTTTGAAAATATGGACATTTGAAGCTCTGCGCATGCATTCACCAGTTTATTCTGCAAAACTGAACTCTCTTCCCCACCTCCCTTCCCATTGTTAAGAGACCTTCTGGCAGGACTTTGTGCCAAAGCTAACTGCTTGTAGTGTCAGGCATTAATATGGCAATTTTGAAGGAAGTACCATGAGTTCATTATTATGGATGCAATGATGAAAACTCACCCTTTTCAATTTGGCAGCAGCTTCTCCAGAGCGGATTGCAGCCAGCAAGCTCTGGTGGATCTGTTCTGGGTCAGAGCGCTGGAACGTCATTGCGGTTTGTCTCTTAGTGACAGGGGGTGGGTGGTCAGTGGAAGCATCTGACTGCCCCTGACTCTTCTGCTCACTATTCACATTGCTGTCTTTCTATCAAGGAAGGAAGTGAGAGGAAAAATGAAACAAACCCCTTTAATCTGAATTAGTCATAAATGGAAAACTAAGTCAACATGGCACAAGGTTGCATATCAAACTGCCACCGTTCTAGTGTTTGCTTCATTTAAGATTTCAGAGATCAGCCACATTTCCACTATAGCACATAGTTTCTCCCTCAGATAATTATGCCAGCAAAATTTTATACTTCCATTCAAGTGTGTTTGTGTCATGATCACTTGAAGCCAAACTGATCATACTACTCAGAATTAAAGGAATCAACACACAGAACCATAAAGAACATCTCATGAGCATTCTGAACATAAAAATAGGTACACACAGTATAAATGATTCTATTTAATTTACTGTTCTTCGAAGTAGAGGATGCTAAACATGGCAAGAAAAAATTAATTCCAATAATCTGAATAAGGTGGTTTTCACTTTAACATTCCCTGTATTCCTGTATTTCATTACGATGCTGTGCTACTCCTAGACACCATAAGGTGTTTACACTGTACA